AATAGACCCAATGTTCCTCCTACCGAAACTGTATGAAAAATATTAATTAATTTTTATACATTTATTTTTCGTCAACTGATTATTGTGTACTTACCGATGAGGTCCATACGAGATCTTACTACATTTCTTTTAAGCCTTTCATTTGGTAATCTATCTAATGCAATAACCACTTTTGATCCATTTATAACATCCTCGTTATTTGCGTTATCATTACTTAAACTATCCATATAATTAATTTTTAATATATATTTTAAAATAATTAAAACATTTTATACTTACGACCCGATTTCAGTAGATAAGACGTTGTATTCTGGTTCTGTACAACTTGAAATACAATTACAAACTAATCCCAACTTGTTAAAATCATAAGTTTTTAGTGATCTGAATATTTCTAAGAAATAAGTATAAAATTGTATTTACCTATATATTATATAATAACTAAATTATATTTAATATTTTACTAAATTACTGATACTGATCACTACATGGTAGTAGCAAAATGCAGGCTAAAATTAAAAAGCCAAACTAGATTGAGAAGAGAAAAACAATCGAAGCTTAACCTCGAGTCCCTGAAGGGAGACGAGACAAGAAGGAAATATCAAGAGGTGATCAATAAAAATCTTGATGTAAAGAGTGGACAAGATTCTAGAACATGGGAGGGTATAAAAGACGTCATACAGAGAGCGGCGGAAGAAAGTATCGAACAAATTAAGAACGTAAGAAATAGATGGTACAATGAAGAATGTCGTGCCGTAGTAGAAGAACGCAGCAGTGTTAGGGTAAAATATATTTTAAGCTGTACTCAAGAAATGAAAACTATATACGAAACTCAGAGGAAAATCTGTAAGAGATAATTTCTCCAGAGAGAAAGAAGGAAATATCTCAACAAAATCCTTGGAAACGTGAAAAACGACCATTCCCTAGGGAGAACCAGACATTTTTTCCGAACCATCAAGCAGTACCGAAAATTCAATCCCAAATGGAATGCAATCAGAGACTCTAACGGACAAATACTAATGCAACCAGTAACTAAAGCTATGCGTTGGAAACAGTATTTTATAAACCTCTTGAACTGCACGTTACCAGGTGACTCGTACCCCACATACTAAGTACCAAAGAGCAGAACCATGCATAGAAAGCCTGAAACTAAAGGAAGTTAAAACTGCTATACTTAGTTTAAAAAATTGGAAAATCCCAGGCCCAGATGGAATTGCCGCAGAACTAATCAAGTTCGGAGGGGAGAAACTTCAAAACATCATTTTCCAAGTATGTCAAGAGATATGGAATGAAAAGAAAATGCCAGAGAATTGGAATAAAGCAATAATCATACCTCTATATAAGAAAGGAAACAGAACGGATTGCCATAACTATAAAGGCATAGTCCTTTTGAACACAGTGTATAAGGTTTATTCTAAAATACTGCTTGCCCGTTTCACACCTTACTCTGAGGAATGTTTGGGAGATTACCAATGCGGGTTCCGGAAAGGCAAATCAACAATCGAACAATTACCTACCATTGGACAGATAATCGAAAAGAAGTATGAATACCACCAAAATATGTGGCAGGTATTCATTGACTTTAAAAAAGCATACGACAGTATACACAGAGATAGCCTATACAATATAATGAACGATTTTGGTTTCCCGGAAAAATTAATAAGGTTAACTAAAATGTGTATGGAGGAGGCAAAATACCGGGTGAGAGTAGATAACGAACTTTCGTCACCATTTACAGTGGATACGGGGCTGAAGCAAGGCGATTCGTTATCTCCACTACTGTTTAACCTAGCTCTGGAGAAAATGATTAGAGAACTTCAAGCCAATGAAGGTGGTATCTAAGTAAACCAAAATAGAATACAGGTGCTAGGTTTTGCAAATGATCTGGATATTCTGGGTGAATCCTTAACAGACGTCACAAACGTAACCAAAATCTTGAGTAGTGAGACAAAGAAAATAGGATTACACATTAGTGAAGATAAAACCAAAATAATGGAACTGCTAGAAAGTGGTGAAGACCCCAGAGTTACAGAAGATTTAATGTATGAAAAAGTTGAAAACTTTAAGTACCTGGGTGCGACCCTGAGTACGAAAAATGACTGGGCAAAGGAGATAGGAATTCGTATAAGTAAAGCAGAAAAAACATTTTTTGCGTTGACAAAATTTTTTAGGTCCAAATGCCTCTCTAGAAAAACCAAAGTTAGGCTGTACACAGCGATAGTTAGACCAACCCTCACATACGGTTGTGAAGCGTGGACAACAACTAAACAAACTGAAAAAAGGCTGAGAACGTTTAAGAACAAAATTTGGAGAAGAATTTGCGATCTCATCTATGATGAATCAACAGGCAGTTGGAGAAGAAGGTACAACAAGGAACTACTCGACATGGTCAATATACCACTAGTAACCAGTTTCATCAAAGGGCAAAGAATACAATGGCGTGGACATATCATGAGAAGGGGGTAAAGCGATACTGCTAAACTAGCACTAGAATGAAAATCACACGGAAAAAAACCCCGGAAAAGATAGATCGATGTTGTCGAAGAAGATCTAAGAAATATGGGAATAGACGCATAGAGGGAAATGGTGCTTGACAGAGATAGGTGGCGCGAGATTGTATTGGTGGCTAAGACTCTTAGAGAGTTGTAAAAGCCAGAAGAAGAAGAAGAAGAATTATACTAAATTATGCGTAATTATACTAAATATTAAATCCTAAGAAAATAACCTGAATATTCAGTTACACAACTAAGTCCTTCAATCCCACAAATCGGTGCTCCTGCTACATAAATTATCAACAAAAAAAAAGTTATTTTAATATTTATTTATTTATTAATTTATTTAACAACATACGAATTCTCAAATAATGTGGCGTGCAATTACACATCTTTAATTGAGTTAATGCTCTGCAATTCACTATGCACGCGGAATTACTGTAA